AGATCATAACAAACTGTGGCTGACTCTGAGAAGAATGGGAATCCCAGAACACTTGATCGTTCTAATGCGAAACTTATACTTGGACCAGGAGGCACTTTAACATAAAGAAGATAAAAATTCTCAAAACTGGCAACATGATAAGTAGAAGAGATTAAAGTTGTCAGGAATTTAAATTTACATGGAAGCAACAATCAGGACATTAAAAAGTGTATATTATACTGGGTATATCGGCTGCAGAAGACCTTTTTAACTTGCTAACATGTATGGATATAACTTTGAGGGTCGTGGTATTTTCATTTCTTTCCTATATCTATGAAAGTTGAACAAAGAGTAAGAGAGACTGTAAAAGAATTCATATGTTTGAGTTGTAGAGTTGAATAAGAATCTTTTTAGGCCATAGATTTCCAAAAGAGCAAATGTATTTTGGAATAAGTGCATACAGAATACTCTTAGAAGTAGGAATGGTGTGCCCTACTCTCACAATGAGATGTTAGCAAGAGAGGGCAGTCCTTAGATAAAGACATCATAGCAAAATGTATTGACACAGTGGCTAGAACAGTGCGTTCAAACAGCGGTGTTGAGAATGGTACAGTCTTAGGATGGCAGGATTTCCTTCTCTTGTACAGAGATCTCTGAATCAAAGTCAAGTTGATGACATGTAGTGACGACAACAACAAACCACTTTGCATGGTATCTAGTGTGCTATAGATGTACTCTTTGGGCAATGATACTGATAGCTCTTGGTACTAATTAGGAGTCTTGGAGTAGTTTTGTTTTTTCTTGTTGTGTACCATCAAATTGAATTCAACTGACAACGGAGATTACCCCTCCTTCTCCGGCAGAGCATTTGGTAGATTTGAACCACTCACCTTCAGGATTGCTACACAGCTTTTTGCCACTAGGCAACCAGAGCTCCCCTGGAGTAGTTTTAAATGTCAAAATTCCAGAGTAGCTTATTAAACACAAAAGAATCAATATGACTCTGCATAAACTATCAAGTTTTATTTATTTCCATCTCCACCCTTAGTTCATTTAAAGGGCCATACAGAGTAGAACACCCTTTGTCACAAAACTTTGGTTATGATCCAGGAAATAAATATTTGTTTTATATAATATGACAGGCGTGGTCTTGGACGGAAGTGAGGATTGAGGACAGGCATTTCTCACAGGCATCTCTCAAAGGTAACAGGCTTTCCAG